CACGAAACGGAAAATTCGCTATCACGGAAAAAATCCTTCTCGCTGACGACAGCCACACGCCTCTTTCACTTCGTTTTTAATGTCGCAATTCAATTTGAAAATAAAAATCCGTGACATCAAAGTCCATCGAAGAATTTTCTGTAAATCCTGTTTTTGGAAATCTAGTTAAACCGGGATTTTAAGACCACTGAAATAAATTATGATAAATCTCCATCTACAATTATAACAATAGATCCCAACAATTACGGTTAAATCCTCCAATTTATCCATAAAGACTGACTATCACTCGATTACGTCTACCCCGTTAAATTGTCAAAACAAATCTGACCGAATTTTACGTTTTCCGTGGAAATATATATATATACTGCGGATGCGTACTTCCCGTCGGGGCCTCATCTACAGAACTCTGGCGGAAGTTTGGATGCTGCAAAGTTATAAAGTGGGCGGAGCTATTTTTGATTGATCGTGTCACAAATCATTTAGAGAACTCGACAGGTTCTGTATCGTAGATACAAATTTGGGGGCGGAGACTCGTGCTTTCGCACTCGTCTGCCCCCAAATTTGTATCTACGATACAGAACCGGTCGAGTTCTCTAAATAATACTTTGAAAAGCATCATATGGCACGTTAAGCTAATAAAAAATGATACATTGTCCACTCACTTTTAATCTTTTTTTCTACGGGGTATTAGTCAAAATGATGGATTGCTTAATTCGCGAAAGTTTCGCGTTGTAACGCGAAAATATTTTTTTTAACCTACGAAAATGAGCTCAATGGGCTTTCGTATCATTCCACTTTCAAAGATATTAAGAAAAAAATAATAATGATACATTTCCTTAAACTTTGAACAAAATATCAATCATTCGAACTGATCTAGGCATTGGAAGGAGATACAAGTACTTTAATTTGTTTTTAAATGTGTTTCGTTGCGTTCCGTCCACGGGTACTTGTTTCGTTAATATAATTTTTTCTAAGTATTATTTAGAGAACTCGACAGGTTCTGTATCGTAGATACAAATTTGGGGGCAGACGAGTGCGAAAGCACGAGTCTCCGCCCCCAAATTTGTATCTACGATACAGAACCTGTCGAGTTCTCTAAATGATTTGTGACACGATCAATCAAAAATAGCTCCGCCCACTTTATAACTTTGCAGCATCCAAACTTCCGCCAGAGTTCTGTAGATGAGGCCCCGACGGGGAGTACGCATCCGCAGTATATATATATATTTCCACGGAAAACGTAAAATTCGGTCAGATTTGTTTTGACAATTTAACGGGGTAGACGTAATCGAGTGATAGTCAGTCTTTATGGATAAATTGGAGGATTTAACCGTAATTGTTGGGATCTATTGTTATAATTGTAGATGGAGATTTATCATAATTTATTTCAGTGGTCTTAAAATCCCGGTTTAACTAGATTTCCAAAAACAGGATTTACAGAAAATTCTTCGATGGACTTTGATGTCACGGATTTTTATTTTCAAATTGAATTGCGACATTAAAAACGAAGTGAAAGAGGCGTGTGGCTGTCGTCAGCGAGAAGGATTTTTTCCGTGATAGCGAATTTTCCGTTTCGTGTGGATTGTTCAAAATTAGGTACAGAGGATGTTTTCCGTTATTGTGATTTTTCTTTTTACTTTCGATCGAAATTACGTGTAGATTCTGTGTGGAATAAGTTTTTAAAAAGTGATTTAGAAATTTTGACATTCTACAAGGAAAACATCAGTATTTATTATGTGTACGTGCTAGCTTTGCTAAATTGAATCAGATTTATTTTTAGACCGTGCTGTATTTTAGATACAGAATAGTTGGCAAATGCAATACTGTTAACAAGGCTAATGCATATAAAGTAGCTCCGCCCACCACAGTCCCGTTCTGTATTGGTAATACAGAACAGTAAACTTAAAAGAAAAACACCGCTATCGTGTCACAACTAATGATAGTATATTAAACTATAAGTATTCAGAAAAATAATTACGAATAGTGTCTGTGTTTCAATCAATCTAATTAAAATTAGATATTTGATCCGCTCCAGTTTGATCGCTACACTAGCGATCAAACTGGGGCGGATCAAAGAAATAATTTTAATTAGATTGTGTTTCCATCCGCAAATGTTTTCTTTAAAAAAAAATAATTGAATTAATAACGAAGGCGATTAAGTTTGCATTTATTTGGCCCTATATATACATTTCGAATATATTGGAATAGGGTCGCAACACGCATTCAACTGTTCAATGTACATTTAAATTTTTCGTTCATCTTGAAAGTTCTTGGTGCATTAAAAACGAAGTGAAAGAGGCGTGTGGCTGTCGTCAGCGAGAAGGATTTTTTCCGTGATAGCGAATTTTCCGTTTCGTGTGGATTGTTCAAAATTAGGTACAGAGGATGTTTTCCGTTATTGTGATTTTTCTTTTTACTTTCGATCGAAATTACGTGTAGATTCTGTGTGGAATAAGTTTTTAAAAAGTGATTTAGAAATTTTGACATTCTACAAGGAAAACATCAGTATTTATTATGTGTACGTGCTAGCTTTGCTAAATTGAATCAGATTTATTTTTAGACCGTGCTGTATTTTAGATACAGAATAGTTGGCAAATGCAATACTGTTAACAAGGCTAATGCAGAACGGAAAGTAGCTCCGCCCACCACAGTCCCGTTCTGTATTGGTAATACAGAACAGTAAACTTAAAAGAAAAACACCGCTATCGTGTCACAAGTATTATTTAGAGAACTCGACAGGTTCTGTATCGTAGATACAAATTTGGGGGCAGACGAGTGCGAAAGCACGAGTCTCCGCCCCCAAATTTGTATCTACGATACAGAACCTGTCGAGTTCTCTAAATGATTTGTGACACGATCAATCAAAAATAGCTCCGCCCACTTTATAACTTTGCAGCATCCAAACTTCCGCCAGAGTTCGGTAGATGAGGCCCCGACGGGGAGTACGCATCCGCAGTATATATATATATTTCCACGGAAAACGTAAAATTCGGTCAGATTTGTTTTGACAATTTAACGGGGTAGACGTAATCGAGTGATAGTCAGTCTTTATGGATAAATTGGAGGATTTAACCGTAATTGTTGGGATCTATTGTTATAATTGTAGATGGAGATTTATCATAATTTATTTCAGTGGTCTTAAAATCCCGGTTTAACTAGATTTCCAAAAACAGGATTTACAGAAAATTCTTCGATGGACTTTGATGTCACGGATTTTTATTTTCAAATTGAATTGCGACATTAAAAACGAAGTGAAAGAGGCGTGTGGCTGTCGTCAGCGAGAAGGATTTTTTCCGTGATAGCGAATTTTCCGTTTCGTGTGGATTGTTCAAAATTAGGTACAGAGGATGTTTTCCGTTATTGTGATTTTTCTTTTTACTTTCGATCGAAATTACGTGTAGATTCTGTGTGGAATAAGTTTTTAAAAAGTGATTTAGAAATTTTGACATTCTACAAGGAAAACATCAGTATTTATTATGTGTACGTGCTAGCTTTGCTAAATTGAATCAGATTTATTTTTAGACCGTGCTGTATTTTAGATACAGAATAGTTGGCAAATGCAATACTGTTAACAAGGCTAATGCAGAACGGAAAGTAGCTCCGCCCACCACAGTCCCGTTCTGTATTGGTAATACAGAACAGTAAACTTAAAAGAAAAACACCGCTATCGTGTCACAACTAATGATAGTATATTAAACTATAAGTATTCAGAAAAATAATAACGAATAGTGTCTGTGTTTCAATCAATCTAATTAAAATTAGATATTTGATCCGCTCCAGTTTGATCGCTACACTAGCGATCAAACTGGGGCGGATCAAAGAAATAATTTTAATTAGATTGTGTTTCCATCCGCAAATGTTTTCTTTAAAAAAAAAATAATTGAATTAATAACGAAGGCGATTAAGTTTGCATTTATTTGGCCCTATATATACATTTCGAATACCGTATATCAGGTTTTTTCCGCGTCATGTTTTTTCCGCGAATCAGAACCTAAATCAGTATATTAAATTTACGCGAATCAAATTTTCACTATTTTAAAGTCCCGGTGATTATATCATTAACAATTGTTTAAGCCTATGAAGGAATTGCATGTAAAATGTAAAGTCATTAAGCTTGAGTTACTACATACGGGTCAGAAATAGATCGATCGAACTTCACGTCGTCAATTTCGGAAGACCCGCTCAGCTGATTACACACCTGTATTGCGTACTAACTCAAATCCACAGATATCATTTTTTAAGATTTTAAACAATCATAGGTCATTTACTGTTCCAAACTGACTAGCAGCTCAGGTATAATTAGTTTAATAGCTTCTCACCAGGTACGTGACCCATATAATTAGCTGGCTTGTCAATTAGTAAACAAACAATAAGGGCTTATACCTATTACCGGTATTTTGCGCTCGTCATCTGATCCCGCTATTTTCTACCTCTACGATATAAGCATTAAGAAATAATTCTACTACAAGAAGAAAATTTTGTATTAAATTTACGCTGTTTTATTTTCCGCGATTCAGAACTCGTCGCGAACAAAGCGGAAATTGGATACACGCGGAAAAATCCTGATATACGGTATATTGGAATAGGGTCGCAACACGCATTCAACTGTTCAATGTACATTTAAATTTTTCGTTCATCTTGAAAGTTCTTGGTGCATTAAGCATATATGTTTATTTAGATAGATGTACTTTCGTTTTAGCATTGAATCGTTAAGCCTAATAGACATGTAAGATTTAATGAAAAAAAATTCTTCTCAAAATGAGGTAGGTAAACGGCCTATTGTATTCTAAAGGCGTTTTATATTAGTGGTGGCTCTGGTATATACATAATTATTAACAAATACTCTGATATTCTTCTACTTACGTAACAAAGATACATGTATACAGATAATTCTGTAATGTATCGTATGTTTATTTTTTATTTTATGGAATATGAAATAATGCTTCTTTTTCCTATAACCGTTTTTTTTTTATCATAATTACTTAAAAACTATAAATTCAGCTGAGGTTTTTGGAATCAACAAGGAAAATTCATACGGATGAAAAGGAGATCTAACTTTTGTAACCATCCAGTATGATTCGATTGATGTGTCGTTATTTTCGATCGAACTCAATCGAATTTATCAACAAGAGGCAAATTCACTCTATTTCATCGGAAATTCAAAAGTTGAAATGGAGTGTTGCGTAAGAATTATCATCATTAATTAATTTGCATTTTGTGTTCTTCTTTAAAATTTTAACATATATTCTGTTGCCTTTATGCTTAGTTTATATAATTTCACTTAAATTCTCTCTTTTTGTTGTTCTTCTTCTTAGAACTGGATGCACATAATATATTTGATTAACAGATGCAAATTGAGACACTTTCATTTTCATGTGTAAAAGCCAGCAGTTTTTTTTTATTGACTTTTATGTTTTGCTTCAGTGCACGTGTTTCGATCATTAAGTCTTTCTTTCTAACATTTAAATTTGAAAAGGCTTTAAATAGCATTAAAAACACTTCAGAAGTTTATTTTGGTTTTTAAATAATCTTTAACAAAGATGGATACATGCATGCTTAATTGACTGATTCTCACTACTGTTGAATTCACGTCTTACAGGTTTTTATTTAAATACTCTTATGTCCTTCACTTCTCACATTTATTGTCTCAATCTATTTTTTTTAATACAATATGGATGCGTTATCTTTATTAATACTGTGCTATGCCATGTTGTTCGTATGTAAAATTTTGACTCGTTTTTCCAATTATATTAACTACACCAACTTTTTGAGAGAGAAAGTGCAACTATTGTGAGCCTTAATTGACCAGTGCATATTTAAACCTATCTAGATCGTTGGCATTTTCAAGATAATATGGAAAATTACATACTGGCATATTGGTCCAATAATTGTAACTTTTATTAATTCATACAAAGAGGAAATAAACATGGCCGTCTTTTCCTTTTTTTCCCGCCCCAGTGACGAGGAGATGAACCCCCTTAAGATTGCGGTGGTGGGGGCCGGGGCAGTCGGACTCTCCACAGCTTTCTGTATACAGGACAGAATACGGAACTGTGACGTCAACATTATTGCTGACAAGTTCTCACCCAGTACCACCTCTGATGGATCCGCCGGTCTGTGGACGCCTTTCCTGGTACCAGAGGAGCAAATAGAGATGGTCACGTGAGTTGACTAATTTGAAGACACATGCATATATATGAATTAAGAAAAATAAAAATTAAGGGCTGTTTTTTTTTCAAAGTTGTTTAAACACTTTAAACTTTATGAAATATTTCTCCTGCTAACATATGCTAAAATAGATATACTAATTTACGCATTTTGGGCGACCAAAATACATACATAAAAGTACCATGCCTGCAATTACAATTTTTAGTAATATTTCATTAATTAATTTGATTAAAAAAAAAGAAAATAATTGATCTAAAGATGGGTTAATATGAAGCTAAGTAAGACAACGGACAAATCATATACATGTAGAAAGAATGTTTCATATTTAAGGTTCATGGATACTCTGATAAAAGAGATAACTCTTAATGACATTACTGTCTATAACCTGGTATTCATTTATAAGTTTGTCAAGTTGAAAATTCTTTTCTGTCCAATTTTGCCCCGAAAGCTATGCTATAATTGTTTGTATTTTACTTGTAAAATACATTTTGTTTGGAACGGGGAACGACAATGACCCTGAAAACTATAGACCTATAACTTTATTAAGTTGCATGGGTAAATTATTCACATCCATCTTAGCTAAACGATTAAATAATTATGCTGAGAAATATGATATACTAAATGAAAATCAAGGGGGTTTCAGATCAAATTATTCTACAATAGATAACATTTTTACTTTACAATCGCTAATCGAATTATCCTTTTTACTGAAAAAGAAACTATATTGTGCATTTATAGATTTTAAGGCTGCTTTTGACAATGTATGGAGAATAGGATTATGGCAAAAACTCATTCAAAATAATATTACCGGAAAATGTTTTGAAGTTATAGTGAAAATGTACTCTGAATGTAAATCCAGAATAGCTGTTAATGATATGGTTACTGAATATTTTCCATGCAAAACAGGGGTACGACAAGGGGAAAACTTATCGCCCTTTCTATTTGCTTTATTCCTGAATGATGTAGAATCTTTTTTAATTGCACATAACAATATTGGTGTCTCAACAATATCAAATGAGATTAAAAAAGAACTTGGTGTTTTATTAAAAATGCTGATTATTTTGTATGCAGATGATACAGTTTTACTATCGGAATCACCCGAAGATTTGCAGAATCAATTGCACAGTTTTTTATTGTATTGTGAAAAATGGAAGCTAGAAGTTAATATAGAAAAAACAAAAATAATGATTTTTTCAAAGGGACGTATACCACATAAAGTTTTTTATTACAATAACAAAGAAATTGAAATTGTTAAACATTTCAAATATCTAGGAATTATATTTTCAACTACAGGCTCATTTATTAAGACAAAACAATATGCTACTGAAAGAGCAACGAAAGCTATGTATGGTATTTTGAAAAAAGGCAACCAATTACATCTTTCTCTAAATGACCAATTGTATTTGTTTGACAAGATTGTAATTCCAATTTTATTGTATGGTTGTGAAGTATGGGGTTATGGTAATGTTGAAATGGTAGAAAGAGTATATTTAAAATTTTGTAAAATGATTTTTCATTTAAAACCAAGTACTCCAAATTTTATGATTTACGGCGAATTAGGTAGAGTACCTTTAATTATACAAATCAAAACAAGAATTATAGCATACTGGTCAAAAATTTTACATGGAAAACAATCAAAATATTGTTTTCTAATGTATAAATTACTTCGTGCAAAATTTGATAATGGACATGAATCTAAATGGTTAAAGAATTTGAAATCAATTTTAGACAATTGTGGATACAGTAATATTTGGAATCAAAATCAATTATTTAATAGAACTTGGCTTATTAAAAGTTTGAAACAAAAATTACTAGATCAGTTTCAACAAAATTGGAATTCAACCTGTAATGATTCTTCAAAAGGTGTGACATATAATCTATTTACAAATTTACAATATGGATGTCAATTTTATGTAGGTAGCAGGTTAAATAATTATAAGAAACAAATCTTAGCTAGATTTAGAACAGCAAACCATAAATTACCCATTGAAACAGGAAGATGGGAAGGTATTGAAAGAACTAACAGAAAATGTCTTTTGTGTAAAAATGATCTTGGTGATGAATTCCACTATATTTTATGTTGTGAAAAATTAAAAGATGAAAGAAAATTGTATATCCCGAAATATTATTTTACAAGACCAAATATTATCAAATTTAATGAATTGTTTTCTTCCAAAAATGTTGGACTATTGAGTAAACTTTGTTCTTTTATTAAAATTATAAACGAGAGAGTCAAACCTCCAGGTTAACATCAATGTAAACAATTATTATAATATGGAAATACTTGATTATAAGCACACTTTGTATATATGTTATATGTTACGCTCACGCATGTATGTATATATGTTATATTGATATGTATTGATCTCTATGTTGTTAAATAACAACAAAAGAGATGTTAATAAACTAAACTGGAAAATCATAGATTTTAAAATAAATTTATTTGAGTGAACAGAGTGCTTACATGAAACTTAAAATGATAAAATGTCCAAATACCCGGTGGAGAGGGCTTGTCCCGAGGCACATATTTTTCTAAATAATTGCATTGTAGATACACAAGTCTATTGTATGTCATGATCTGACTTTGACTTTGTAGACGCTGGAGTATGGAGACCTACACGTACCTGCTGGAGAAGTTCCGGTCTGAGGATGCCTATAGATACGGGGTTCAGCTTATCTCAGGCTTCAACTTCTGTCAAGAAGTCAAAACGGTAGTTCTCTCTTAAAATTAATTCAGAACACCAACTCGCTTAAAATATATAAATGAATTGATTGTTGATTGATCTGAACACATAAAAATTTTTTATTGTGAATCACAGTTTGGAAAATCAAATACCTAACGGTCGCCCGCGTGGCGCAGTGGTTAGAGCGTCTGCTCTAGAATCGCGAAGTAAGGAGTTGATCCTTGCGTCTCGGGTTCGAATCCCACTGTGGGACGTTGAGACCAGTCCTTCGGACGAGACCGTATAAACCGAGGTCCCGTGTCGCAGTATGTGCTGGCACGAAAAAAATCCCTACCTGCTCAATGGCCCAAAGTACCGAGTATAGGAAAAAAAATGCAGCTCTCCACCGGCAAGTGGTGGCGTCTTCACATATGTGAAAAATTCTCGAGAGGCACATTAAACAATATACTGCAACAATCAAATTCCTAACGAAGTCTTTACGTTTAATACGACTGATTATGTTTGAATTCTAGGACCCCCCGTGGTGTAAGGATGTGATAGGGTTTCGTCGTCTTGGAGAAGAGGAACTAAAACTTTATCCTGGGAAAGAGTGAGTTCATTTCAATATCAGGTGTCAATTATAGCCAATATCTCTTGTCTTTTAACCAGTTTAAGGACATTCCATCATATACGATAAGGACGTTGACTCGTATACGGAGATTGACTCGTATAAGGAGATTGACTCGTATACGGAGATTGACTCGTATACAGAGATTGACTTGTATAAGGAGATTGACTTGTATAAGGAGATTGACTCGTAGGATCTGTTCTAGGGTCAGAACTGTTTATCTAAAATTAACTATTTTATTTTTTGACATTTTAACTTTGAACCTTTTCCAGCTTTGGCATTTTCTACACAGCCTTTACTCTTGATGTCCCTAGTCTTCTGTCTTCATTCATGAGAAAGTGAGTATAATTGTAAGCTGGTCTGTATTCCGAGTCAACTTGTTATTTTTAATCGAGAAAAATGTTATTTCTATGAATACGGGAGACATTTTAATTTTATGAAAATTTCAGATTCAGAGAGCAAGGTGGATTTGTGATTTCCAAAAAACTACGATCCTTACAAGAGGTAGAATAGACATTACATAATTTACATCGCAGGTCATATCTAGTTGACTATAACTGCCCCCCCCCCCCCTTTACACTAAGCCCACACTTTCCCTTCAGAGTCTTATCCCTCAAAAATCAAAAATATCAAAAGAGAGTAAAATTAAGTCTACCCGACGGGATGTTAAAAATTTAAAGCCTTATGCCCTCTCCCAGCAAGATTTGCTCGATCAAGAGTGTTACTATCCTCTCAATTTTTGATTTTCTTTCAGACGTTAGATTTTTATTTTCAATCATATTTGCAAACATAGCCTTATATGTACTCTTCACTTTTTATATATTTTATTTGACATTTTTATGAACAGATCGAATCCTCTTATGACATCATTGTTAACTGCACTGGTATTGGTTCTGCTGAATTACTGAACGACACAAAAGTCAAACCAAAAAGAGGTCAAGTAATCCGGGTAAAGCTATTAAAAGTGTTGTCTACTGATCTTTTGAAAGTTTTAATGTATGATATTTATCAGTGGTATATAAAACGTTTTCTTTATAAATAAAAAAAAATCACTGCATATATAACTTTAAGGGAAGGCTGTTACCAAAAAATATAATAGTAATAAAATACAGAAAAATAATAATTAAGGAAGAATCTAGACAATCTGAATCATTTCAGGTAAGGGCTCCTTGGATTAAGCACTTCTACATCGACATAGATAAGAATGATGACGTCACGTATATACTGCCTGGGTAAGGATATATGTTCTGATCTTTTTTGACCGTACAGTTATTGTTTGGCGTGAAAAAGTAATAAAGAAAATATCTTTTTACTAGTAATTGAAGGTCATATTATTAGTAAAATAATTTTCCAATTTTTCTGTTTCTTGGAGTTCTTTCCTGAAGGGTATATTCGATAAATGCCATTGGTATTTTATTAACCAATTAGTGATTTATTACGTACATGATTTTGTTAGTTCTTTGGAAACATCGATAACTTATATTAATAGAAATATCTTAATTTGTTATAAAGGGTAGATACTATACATGTAGTAACATATGATCTTTTGGTGATGTGGTACGTTATTGTTTGAAAATTGATGCGGTACATTATGGTTTGATGATTGATGCGGTATGATTGTTTTGGGGATAGCCACGATACTTTTAGATTTTGAGGGATGAATAATTCGGATGTAAGACACATGGGAGATATGTGATTTGAGAAAGATGTATAAGATTTTGATGGATTCTTTAGGATAGATACTGTGGTGTTAGGGGGGACAGCACAAGATGGTGACTGGAACACAGAGGACGACCCTAAAGACATAGAGGGTATTATGGAAAGGTGTCTTAAAGTCATGCCAAGTCTAAAGGTATAGTGAAGTATGCAGTTAGATACAAGATAAAATAATTAACAATAAACATTATGTCATTTCTCAAAGTTTATGCAAAGTTTGATTACTTAGAATAAAATCTCCATAATCTAAATGAAATTATATATGAATGAATTTAAGTTTACAATTAATTATAATACTAAGTAGTTACAAAGCAAAAGATTCAGCTAATACTTGTATATACTGAATAGGGTATATGGTGATGCAATGCTGGCCAGTATTAATTTGAGAGCAAGCAACCCTCTTAAAATGAAGAAAATTTATCTGCTGCTTAAAAGCTATTCAACTAACAAAATTATTTTGGGAAACAAAACTGGAAACTAGAATTATTCAATTCAGTCACTCTAAAAAAAGTTTTACCTAGTAATTTATATTTACTTAAATTTGCGTATATAAGTAATTACATATTACTTTGTATCTTTACCATACTTCATGGGCTGAATTGTCAAAGCTAATAATTTAATTTTACATTTTTTTCAGGACAGTAAAAGGATAGGCACATGGGCTGGACTCCGCCCATATCGTGAGTCGGTACGGCTAGAAATCGACAGAAACACAGACCCATCCAAGGCCAAAGTAAGTACACGTGTATTTAAAATTTTATTTATACAGAAGAAGTAATTTTTCATTTTCTGTTCCTCATTTTATTATTGTTTTAATCTTTCGAAATCAAATAATCAAAATAAATGTCTTTAAAATTGATTTTTAAGTAAAAACATAAAAAAGAACATGTAGACTAAGTTAAAAAAATACCCGTATAAGCAGAATTTTTAGCGAGGATTTAATTTTGGCATTATTAGCAAGGGTGCCAAGATCGCTAAAAGTAAGTATCGCTAAAAATTAATTGTGCTTTATTTGTAATAGTTTATTTAGTGAGCTTTTTAAAATCGCTAAAATTACATATCGCTAAAAATAAAATGCTAATTTCTAAGAGTAGATCGTTAAATTTGCATCTCGCAAAAATTTCCACTTATACGGTAACTTCGAAATCACATTATAGCTGAGTACAAAATGTTGAATTAGATAGGGAAAAAATTAAAGAACATTTGTTTATAATTTGCAACAAACTCCATGTGAAGTAATTTCACCGACACCAACTATTTCTATCTCTGGTGTATTTGGGTTTCTTTTTAAGGTAATCCATAACTATGGCCACGCTGGAGCTGGCCTGACTATATTCTGGGGTTGTGCTAAGGATGCAACAGATCTAGTGATGGATCTTGTCAGGATACATAAATCCAAGATATGAAACGACAGAATTCAACTTATAACATATCACAATGAGATTTCACATAAGAAGCCTTTACTGGTGAATAAGGAGACTTGATATACCACATTGTCTGAATCATATGGAAGACAATACTAAAGAAAACATTTCTCAATATGTCAGACTGTCACATTTCTCAGCCTATATCTTAGATTTGTTGAAATTCTGTTTCATGATTGAAAATAAATTCCATATTCAAATACAATTTATTGAATTACCTTTATTCAAGATATGTTAATTGCATTATATCATTGTTGAATAGAATATACCATTATTTAATATGATAACCATACTTTTTTGTTTTGTTTCAAACTGAATTGCTATAATTGAAACTAAAATATATCGGGTTTTCTTTCTAAATATTATATCAACATTTCTTTCTCATGGGTAGTGCACAGTAATTACTGTCATAATTATTAATGACTTTAATTATATTACTCATTTAATATCACTCATATTTATATGTATTTATAACTGTTTTAGATGATAAAATTATCATTATAATGATTTTCCCCTCTTGAAAAGTATGAGATCAAATACCACATATGATAATGCACTTTTATTTTAGTATCAGTTTTCAAAGAGTTAGTTTCGAAAAAGATTGTACTTCATGGCAAAGCAAGATTCTCAATCTCAAACAAAAACTAAACTTTAGATATTTCCCATAAGGATTTGGGGTATAAATTAAATAAAATTTGACCTTTGAACAATTGAGCAAAATTCCATCTTCTAACGCGGAAAAATTTTATTTCTGTAGTAAAATCTTAAACTGTAATGATTAATTATAAATTGCAGGGGCCCGTTTTGCAAAAAGAATTACGACTTAAGACAAAATTTAATTCCTCATATAACTTTTAATAAACATTATATTAAAAATTATTTTAAAATTTTAAACTTATTTTAAAGAATGTGGTAAGATATTTATACACAGATAATTTCAAAGATAATTATTAATTTTGCAAAATTGTACAATAAGTTGAAGTTTTTGGTCTTAGTTGTAAGTTCTTTTCGAAAATGAGCCCCAGGATTACTCTAAGTTTCCTATGAAAAAAAGTGAAAGATCACAACTAACAAAATTAAGAAGCAGTGTATATTCACTAAACATTGAAACAAGCAGATATTGTAAACCAATTATTATAAAGGAAAAATGTTTATGCTATGCTTGTAAATAATTTGTTGAAAATTAAAAACATTTTGTACTTCACTGTCCTGTGTATGACAATCTTCGATTTCAATTTTGTGATATTTTTGATGATAAATTATAGTGTGGTACTGGTCCCATTATTGACAGATGATACAAACAAACTGTTGTCAAAAAATATGAAAATAAAAACTTGAGTTATGTTTCAATGAGTAAGAAGAACAAGTTTCACCGCGTAGTTTTTAATTTTTTATTAATTTTCACAAACGTGGGATTTGAAGTGAACCATATTTGTACACTGAAAGAAAAACCTAGTGAAGAAATACGCCCGCTAACTCTCGATTACCGCCTACATTTTGGAACCATTTAATTCAATAGAAATAGTAATTTGGCCATAAAATCTTTGTTTAATACAAAGAACAGTTCAATGGTAATTGATGAATGTCTTAATACCAGCGCTTAACGGTAAATTATCCATAATTCCAGCTCTTGAAAAAAAAAGGGGGGGGGGGGTTAGACGATATTTTCCATTGAAATCGGAGTTTCAAGCATCACCATATTTTGAATTAGTCTTGGATATGATTAAATGTTCTTCATATCTTTTCTTATGTCTTTGGCAAATAAATAAAACATAAATATATCAATAAATGTAATGTTTCATTTGTAAATCGCTTTGAAATTGGTGGAAAATAAGCATTTTTATCATTTTTTGTCTATAAATTTATGTCCCCCCCCGTGTCATACAAAAAGCTTTGGAATGAATTTGTGAAATAACATTTCATATTACCTGTAAAAAGGAATTTTTGTGACACCGGGGGGAAAGATGTTTTAAAAATATTTTCCTTTTTCCGTTATAGTGAAAAACACAAGTTTTACCAAAATTTTAAAGTTATCCCTCTTTGTTTTCCCAAATAAGTAATGTTAATTGAAAATCCATATAATTATCTATAAAATGTATTAAAAATTCATCGAATATGTTAACTTTTGAAAATTGACTTAGAGGTAGGCGGGAGAACAATACTATCGTTCGCAGTTCTTTAACTAGTGTGTTTCGTAAAGCGTTGGTCGTGATTAGTAAACTTTCAGTTTACTGGTTAAGATAGTGAGTTGTGGAGCGGGGGTCGTATAGATACTTAGATACCTAGTGAAAGTTACTCATCAATTCTAAATTTACTAATCTTATCTAGTAAATATACCAATATCTGGTAAAACTATTATTAAGGTAGTGATTGTATGGACAGTGAATCTACTAGTTTTCTTCGTAACATTAATAACTAGTTATTTTTTTTACAGTGTATAGATTAAAAAGGATGGTGCCAGAGAGGCAGAACTTTGAACATCGTAGAAGGTTTACAACTTACTACATAAATGTAGTTTACCAATCCAGACAATCATTTTTTGTTTGTATCATCTGTCCTTAAAGAAATTGTTAACCCATGTGATTATAATGATGGTTAATAACTTCTTAGATAAATGCTTTAAACGGAGATCTAGAAAGTTCAAACAAATCCAGGGTCTATGGACATGATAAAGAATTGTGTAAAATTGCATTGTTATCGTAATTACCATATAAATAATTTTTCTTCTTTTTTCTGTTGTGTGTCATTCGATTTGTTTTGACTGCATACCAACATGGTGATGTCAATGAATAAATTGAATATATACTTAGAGGTATCTAGTGATCAGGTTTTGAGAAAATATAGCATTGTAAAAAAAAAAAAATGGTTATTCGCTATTTTTTTTCTTGTTGTCCCCAAATCTCCAAGATTAATCTAGCTTCATGGTCCTTTTAAAGCAAGGATAAGATTTTATGCTCAAATTAGTTGAAGTACACATAGCATTAACCTCAGTCAGTTAAATTATATACCCGGTAAACCTTTTTAAATGTTTTTATTTTATAATAATGCTCTGCTCTTGAATTTCATTCATTTTGTTCAACAGGACTGTTAAGCTTGAATACTGTTCGTTATCTCCATATGTTTTTTATAAAAAAAATATTTAACCATGGCAAGGTACAATGTCACATGAGCAAAGCTATCAGAAGTATTGACACCTAATATCTTTGAAATATTTCTTGGTTCATTAATTTCGACTTTAGGAAAATATTTTTGGAGGACATTTGGACTGTAACTCAAAGTAAACAATGTTCATAATAATTTATTATATAATTATTTAATTCATTTTCCTATACATTGGTCACATGTAAGAATACAGTTCATGATTCAGAGAGTGAGTTATTTATATCTCGCGCTGGATTTCCTGATATTTTATCAAAACAGGAAGACAACAGTAAATCTTTGAAATGTATGTAAGCATCGAGGAAGTAAACACGGAATTTTTAAACATCTGCTTAAAAAGATAAGCCACGGGATTTGAAATAAAGGCGCAGTTATAGTTCCAACAGAAAGAAGATTAGTCAGTCTACACAATGGTATGATCGACAATCGATCAACACAGGACGGAAAAATCGTTTGTCATTTCGTCATCCTTGTCAAATATGGAGGAATTCTCAACTGGTAAAACTTATGTTAAAATATCACACATCTGGTCAAAGTTTACTTAACTGTTATTTCCTATCATTTATAGACCATTGATGTATACAACAACCATGTTAGATACTAACGAGACGCATTTCATTTCAGGAACAAAAACTGGATCTGAGTACCGCATCGTTCTCTTGGGAAAAACTGGATCAGGAAAAAGCTCAACAGGAAACTCAATTTGCGGTGGAGACGTTTTTGGCTCGCACGTGTCTGAATCTTCGGTCACTAAGACCTGCCAATATGCCGAAACCTGTCGTTTTGATCAAGAGCTAAGCATCGTAGACACCCCGGGGTCCTTTGATACCTGTATATCCAATGACGTCATCATGGCAGAAGTGACGCGATGTTTGGCGCTCTCTGCTCCCGGTCCTCATGTTTTTATCTACGTTTTTAATGCACTTTCCAGATTTACCAAAGAAGAGGAGGATTCAATCAATCAGTTTGTTGAAAAATTTGGGGAGAGAGTATTTGATTACATGATGATCATCTTTACAAGGTATGACGATTTAAGGAGATGTACTACTCTACCATCTAAATACCTTGCCAACTTATCTCCAAGTTTCAAAGCGTTTTTAAATAAATGTCAATACAGAGTATGTTGGTTTGATAACACCTTAACAGGATCTGAGGCGGAAAGACAAGTTCAAACCCTTCTTGGAGTGATTGGGAAAATTGTAGAGGAAAATGGTAACATTAGCTACTATACAAACACACTATATACCGAGGCTGAGAAAATTATGAAAAAGCGAGAAGAAGAAATACTAAATGATGAGAAAAAGAATAAAAATGAAATGAGTGTTCTGAAAATTCGTGAGGAACACATCCAGAAAGAAAAGAAATCCAAGGAATGGCGAATAAGAGACATTGAAAGAAGACTCGGAGAACTTGAAAAAATAGCCAAAGGAGAGAACGGAAGTAGAAACCTCAAAAGAAAATCAAAGAGCAGTTCAGACGATAAGTCTCTGGAGAAGGAGGTGCACTTCTTATGTCGTGAGATGGAAAAAATAAAGTCAAATGATTTAGGAATGATTGAAAAACAACAGAAAGAAATCCAATGTCTGAAGGCGAGATTGTTTAAGAAACAAAATAAAGGTCACCCAAGATCAGTAGCCAGAAGAGAACTCTCCAGGAAAAACAGTCCTCTAAGTCGCATTATCTGCAGAGGAATTATGGCCCTGGGAAAACACTTACTAGCGGGATTTGTAGGACTTTTGTTGCTGTGAACAAGATCAGTAAAATCAGTATACTGTATTTTAAACATTCAAAATGTACCATATATTTAATAGACCTTTTTGTGTACATTAAGCAACCAATTTAATTTCTATATATGCCCGAATAACACTAAATATTTTTAGCGAGAAGCATATAAACTAATATGTCTGCAATATTTAATATTCATTTCAAGAGAGAAGTATTTTTTGCAAATTTATAATGTCTTGAGAGGTAACGATTGCAAAATGATTTGTACAGCATTTTAGTTTTAGTTATTGCAAAGTGTAATTTCCTGGCTTTAAAGCTAAATTGAATATTCCTAGGGGTTAATGCTTCTCGTACGGTATAGCTTTCAGAGTTTATAATTTAAATATGTACATAGTTACAAAACTGATTACGAACGATGATTTGCTCTATGATCCATTGCGAGGACGTAACAATGAAATTTACTCAAAAGGAGTTATTCACATTTTAAAGTTTTTTTTAGAAAAAAAATCATTACGTACATGTTGTAAAAGAGTTTAAGGAAATCTGATCCTCGGGGTCTGAAAATCAGGCATTGAGTAATTGAAAAGTTTCTCAAAGATGTCTCTTGTTGCTAAACGTGATGTGTATTGAAACACCATCTTCAAGGTTAATCATATTATAAAGGAAAAATAAGATAATCTCGAATACTTTTTAGGAAATGCAAATAAAACTACCTACTGCATTTTGTCGAATTGAAAATTGATCAACAAATACCATTTATGAATAAAAAATTTTGGTATTTATGCTTGTGTTTCTCATAATTACTTTGAACATTTTATAATAATGTAATTTTAGTGACACGTCATTTAAGTGGATAAAAGATTTAATTCAAATTGTATAACATAACTTGCCTACGTCACAATGAGTTACGTTTTTAAAAACGTATTACTCCGCCTGACGTTACATTTAAGGACATACGTAAGGTACCTTACCTACTGATAATTTTTCAAGATATTCTAGATTTAACCTTATAATACCAGTACATCTTTTAGACAAAAAACCAGGAATTTGAAAAGATATTAAAGTTTGAATTTTTTTTGCATTATTCAAAGAAAAATGTACAAAAGTTACAAAACATAAATTCCAGATTTTTTTTCTCATCAAAAATTGTTTTAGAAGAGATTAACAAATCCATATATAGACAATAAAAATATTGCACACACGTCCTTTATTTAGTGGAACTCTTCAACTCCAAGGAAGAACCCAATAAAGTGCAAACTACGTTGCGTATGACCTTAATATATGATTAGTTTGAAGCCATTTTTGAGGAAAAAAGTCTTACTGTCTTCACTGAAATAAAACTATTCTTTGCGATTTTTAAAGAGTAAATTGCCTCAAATTATGTTATATTGTACAACACAGGTCAAATAGCTAGGCTTCATTCCTTAAGGGGGCCGACTATAGTTTCCATTGCGCATTATTTCGTGCATCATAGTAAAATGAAGCGTATTTACTGTTATAATGCAACTTTTTTCGCTTAATTATTAAAATTAAACAAAATTAAGAAATTATAGTTATAAAAGTGTAATTACAATTTGATATAACTGATTTTTAAACCGATTTTGCAATTGATAGTTAGGTTGACGTCGTTACAGTGTGTGTTTGACGTTAAAGAAAGGGGTAATAAAAATGTTATTAAAAAAAGTAATAATCATAGGCTCTTGAAATTTAAAACATAGAAATTTGAGAACATTTCCTTTATTTTTCTGATGTTTTCATAAGAATCCTTTGTGCCCATCATATTTTGTAGTACTCTATAAAAACAGTAAAATTCGTTAATTTTTTTGCATTTTGAGATGCCCCCTCTGGTAACAAGACGGTAGAATTTTGTGTTTCGTATACATATTGTATAATATAGTATTACTCATCAAATATTATAGTTTGAACAAAATGTCTATTGTAGTATTTGTTTAATTTGCTTTAAAGTGCTAAAAATGTACAGTTTCCTATATAATCCTATAGTAAATGTACCTGTATTTTGAGACGGTCCCTCAAAAATACCTGGACGGTAGATTCCCCCCAGACTTTGCATGTACACTGAAATTAATGCAAGTTATATATGGTATAAAAATGAAGAGTTTCGCTATTGTAGTTTTCACACAATAAAACTATACAATCGGCCCCCTTAAATACATAGCTATAGTGTACAAAATATTTCTTATCATGGAAAACACCATAAATCCCTTCTTATTTCATATAATGCTTATAAACATTGATTACAATGACTAGATGAAAAGATCTTCGATTTTTTTAGATACATAAATTTTACTTACTTTTATGAAGTACAAATATCAACTTTTTAATTACCGTTTCTAAAAACTAAAGAACCTTGGATCACACTGAGAAGCATAAGATAAAATTTGTTGCATGAAAAGATTTTAATTTCAAGCTTTATTTTGAGACGAATGATGAATTTTAATTAAAGAAAAAAGGCGTCGAGAAGTTTTTTTTAATTTAAAACTATCAAGACTGTGAATTTTAGAAGTGTGAAATCGCCATATGCCCTTGCACTTTCTTAATTATATCAATACATGTATTTTTACTCTCCAATTTGAAAATTTGCAAAAATGAGTATTACAAAAAGATATAAGAATTTAAATCTAAAAAAGTTTTAAAGAATAGAAATGCTAAAAGGCAAATTAAACAATTGCCTCCTGTGGCAGCAATTGCAAAATAAGTATAATGTTAGTTACAAACAGAGCTCGAGCCGTTTTACACACATTGATGTAAGGTGATTGACTTTGAAGAATGTCGACTCAGATCCCATGGCTCTGCTCCTATATTGTATTGTTTTATGGACTTTTGATATTGAATACTGCTCATTATCTCCATATGTTTCATTGAATATAAAAATTTCTACGTAAGTACTATTTGTTAAATTGACGTATTTTTTAAGATAAATAAAAAAGAAGGTTTACGGAACGAACTAAAAGTTTAAATATATTCATTAAAGTCGTTTTTTTTAAATAATAATAATAACGCACTAAATATGAACAAATATGTTAATTCATATTTTCTTTTTAAATGCAAGTACAGAGCACTCGCTTTTTGTAATATTATATGTGTGAATAAAATTCAAGATATTAGAAATTAACTTTTTGATCATGTTGATTGTAAACATGTTCAAAGCCGAGGTCAATATTGGTATTTTTCTGGTGAATAACAAACAATATTCAACATCAAAAGAGTCCATAATTGTTTTATTATATAGTCTGGCTTTGAATAAATAAGACATTGAAGGCTGCATGATGACACCATTGACATTTACCAATTCACGTCGTTTTAAATTCTAAAAAAAAAAGTACAGTTTGTAGCTCCGTGTTTTCCTTTTCGAGTTACGTGTGTAAGACGTCCAAATGTTAAAAAAATAATCCTGCCATAGGTTTGTCTAACATTTTTGCCTGCTCAAATAGATAGCTGGCTGCGGCCGTTTCAACCATTTTTTACAACGTTGATTGAGGTGTTGATTGTGACCTCACAATGCCGCTGCACGCGCACTGACCATCCGGTAAATAAGGCCTCAAATATGGTGAATACCCGGTATATAGCGTTTTGAACTGTTTGGTCGTCTTTATTAGGTTATATAGGGACCATCTATAGACTATATAATAATATGTTATACTGTAACAGCCTTACACTTTGATGTACAATGTAATCTTCGGGTTATAACTGAACGACATTCCAAAATACAATTTTTTAATACCTTTGTGTCTTTTCTATCATATTAGATATAAAAATTTTAAAATGTTTTGTAGATGTCGGAGCAAAACTGAAACAAATGATATGTTACTTTCTTATGTAAAGTAATATGAAAAACAATATGATCGTATTACTGAAGTTAACAAAATCTCATATGTTAAAAAATAAGTGACAATTGTAGAAGTGCTTTATTTCAAAGAAGGATATGGAGATAACGAACAGTATTCAACAATCATAAACAAAAATCTTAAATTACATTTTCGCATGAAAAGCATGATATATCTTTTCAATTTTTTTTAGAAATATGTCCTCATGAAATGACAATTGACTATTTCCGCACTCAAGAGGACTCTGAATTATATTTAGCAAGTAATGCACAATTTATTTTAATTTTTATTCGCTTGATCGGCATGAATTACTAATTCTTAGCGTATTTCTCAGTTTTAAGAGTTCAGATGATATACTTTGCACCCAGACAAAGATTTTCTGGAGGGTCAACTACTCTCTAAAAATGAAATCTTGTTCTAAAGTACCATGTCAAGCGTTGATGAAGCTGAAATATATTTGCAAATGCCTTTTAATTTATGCTTGAGTAAGTTTTAAAAATATTCATATTGTAATTAAATGTAAAAATCTATGACCTAATGTACTAAACAGTTTACACTGAATTAGATGTGTTTTTTTTTTTTTTTTTTTTTTTTTTTTTGTCCATTGCTTGGAATAATTGAAAACATCATCTTTGTCCCCTAAAAAAGACATACTTATTTAAAAAGAACCTTCGTTTTTATAAAAATAGCCTCTTAATTTTAAGAGATGTTCCTTTGTGTATATAACAGGAAGTTCTCCAAATCTTTTGTGGGTTACTTTGGTAACAAACATAAGTAGTCAAGATCTATGTTTTAAGTTAAGATAGCAATGAAACAAATAGTACAAGCAATTCGTCTCTTTTTGTTAAATTAAGATTTAAACGATATCTATGAGACTTTGGTAATAAATAAAAATGTTTTCTTGCAATTCATATTATTTGTAATTATTATGGGACGCTAAAATAATGAGTGTTGAAAAACTCATTTTTCATTAAATTTCATCAAAGTATATTGTAGAAAAGGATTTTTTTTGTATAAATTTGCAGAGAATGTAGTCTTTTAAATCATTATCATGGTTATTTCATCCAAATTGTATGGTATTTTAACATGTCTGTTTCACCATTTAGTCTCTTATCAATCCTATGTATTGGCATTTCAATTTGAAATTTAATGTCAAAAAATAGTGTGGAATAAATTTATATTTATATGTATAAACATTCATTTATGATTTTTACAACTCAAAGCAAATTGGGTACGTTGTGCATATTTAAACACTATATGTTTTTAAAATTGAGAAAACCTTACACACTAATCTTGAATATAATCAAATATCAAAATCAAGTCGACTTAAGAAATCCATTGATTATATCAATTTCTTAAGATTTACTGGATGAATAGACAAAACAGTTAGTACAGAAAATGGGTTTAAATGTTAGCATTCTCACCTTGAACCAAGCCTCCATCAAACTTATTTTCAGCTTTACTTTATATATTTACTCAAGGTAATGAGGGAAAATATACATATACATGTAACTTCAAAAAAGGATAAATCTATTCTAAGTTAACCCTAACCCCGACCTTTCTTATAAAATATTGTGCTTCCTAATCTTTTTAATGTATAAAAAAAAGACAATGAAACAATGCACAAGAAACAGGTATTTCAGCCTGTTCTAAATTCAAAATTAAGCAAATTCAGGAAGAGACATTACATAATGACCATTTTTTTTTCTTTACATATTCTCGAAAATCACTTGCAGTATTTCTCTCAGCTACACAGAGCAGAAAGCTTGTATAGTTACTAGACTAAGTATTCATCGGATCTAAGGATTATACATCCCAATTTCTAAGTCACGGATTTCTATTTGTAGTAGGGAACATATTCTATATAGAACAAATATGTTAATTTAATTCTGTCGGCTACTAAGAGTCTAAACTGGCAACCAGCCAGCATTCTTAGTCAATATTG